GGGAAGAGAGAGTGGGGACTGAGCTAGAAAATCACAGAGACAGGTATCAGCTTACTACTAGTACTTACTGTGTAGTATCAACTGTGGCAGTGCATGATCAGTCCGCTAAAGCAATCAACCACGTTGGCCCACGTCCGTTCGATCTCCGTCCAAGCTTCAAAACGGTTCGTTGCTGACCCCCTTCCCTTCCCTACCCGTGAACAGGTTCTGATCTCGGTCTAGACTCGTGACGAAGCTTTTCCATATGGAGTGTCGAGTGAGTCCTGATCTGATGTCGGCGTTTCAGCACTTTTACCCCTTCCTTCACGGTTCACACATCCGGTGACGACATTTCGGCGTTCATCCTAACGACCTTCCTTACCCCATAGTTCGCTTAGCCTTGTTGGCCCCCGAATTGCATACCGAAAGGATGATGCTTCCTCCTTGGCCACCGATGCGCCTGTTACCTGTCGGTCATGGGTTCCCCAGAATGTCCATTCCGGATCCAACTCTACCCCAACCTGGCACCCAGTCTGACTTCATATCCCAGTTTCCACTCCCTCCTCCCAAATGATCATCGGAAAACCAGCCCCTTCTGGGTCTAGAGCCCGTGAAACTAATTTTGTAGTTTCCGTCATGGCAATGTCTTGGGTGGGTCCCGTTAAGTGGACTTCCTGAAAGCATATGCAGAGCAGAGCCCCATCTCACCATGTGGCGGACCTAAACAGGCTTGGTTCTCCGGTCAAAGTAAATGAAGACAATCACCGGGGCTGTTCCGACTGAACGGTTAGAGATACGATGCCCAAAAATGCAGTCAAGCCGAAGATCCCTATCTCTGCGTCGCTCACCCGCAAGCGAGTCTTTTTTTTTTTTTTTTTTTTCGTCGATTTCGAGCTAAGCTATCGTAGAGGCTTCTTCTTTCTATTCTTGTATCACAAACATCAGGCTCCCTTTGTAAGCAGTTGTGGGATATATACCTCGAGGAGGTAGTATATAAACTTACAAGTCTTCCACGCTTTTCCCTAGCACATTCACAAGGTTAGCAACACAACAGCACCAGACCTGGCGTATAGAAAAGACTGCAGTTTCTACCACTCAAGCTCGTTGATTGTACTCTCTCAGAGTTTCTCTTCATTGCAACGGCCGGCAAAATACACATCCGACCAATTTTTCTCTCGAACAGTGCAATTTGTCGTTGTGGCACACAGTTGCATAACTGTCAAGTTATCTCAGTACAGGCCGGTGGCATAGACTGGGTTTGGGTTTTACCAATACCAACAATGCCTTCTGGAAGCAAACAACACCCCAGGTCAGACTGAATCCTTGTCCATTCATATGGCCATCCCCCTGACTTTCTGTGCTCCTAGCAGAGTTACGAACGGCATGAACAAGGGTCTCAGTGCAGGAGATCTAAGTCATGTACCGGACGGAAGCAGCAACAGCGTAGTCGATCGATTCTCCCAGTCACCCGCTGCAGATGAACCTTACTTTGCTCGCGCGCGAATGCAAGACCGGTCTGATCATGTATCACGGCTCTCAAGTCAACTCGACGCGACAGACGAAATCTTGAAAAAATGATCATGGAACTCTACTCTGTATTCCAAGCTTAACCAAAACAAAAAGAAAAAAACAACGAGAGGTCTATAAGGCCACAATGGGCACTCTATGTACAAGTCTATCAGGTTGGACAATCATAACACAGCCCAGTGCCCAGAAAGATACAAAGGGCACATACCCAGGACAAAGGACAGGTCGACAGGCCCTTCGGTTCCATGAGGAAGAGCGGGGTTTTCCTGTCATATAGCCCAGCTGCAAGACAGTTATCAATGTAACACTTCCAATAAGGCGTGTGCTACGTCATCATATTTTGTACTGGGGAACTCGTGTCCCGCATTGAAGTATTTGAATTCCACGTTTCCCTGGAGAGCGGAAGTGGCATCTGGGACGAGTTCGTCCTTGACAATAACTGAGTCATGCTCGCCACACATAATAATCACCTTGTTACTTGGGAGGCCGTTATCCTGCTGCTCTTGGGGGGATAGTTTGCTCTGAGCAGAGAGGAATTCACCGAGGCGCTCCCATGATTCCCGTTGGCGCTGCTGTAATATCGGCCCGTGTTGCATGCTGGACATGAAAGCATGGACGAAGCCAGCGTGACAGTTAACTTGCCATTTAACAGCTCCGGGCACAGTAACATGCGGGTACGCTCGAGACAACAGTTGAGTATTAGCGCCTCCTTGCGAAGGAAGCTCCTCGGTCAATGCATCCGCGGCGTTAATCTTTTGGGATTTGGGTTTCGGGGTAGTTAGTGGGCCCGCACGGAGACGACGGCCGACAAGGAATCCCAAGACACGTTCAGGAATAAGGCCGCGGGAATAAAGGAGCCGTGACTGAAAGCTGATCTGAGAGTCACGTATCAAGCCCGCCGGGGCAAGCAAAACCAGTGAAGAAAGTAGCTGGGGGAAGAACGATGCAAAAGATGCTGCTATCCCTCCTCCTAAGGAGTACCCAACTAGGCTGAATTTACCACTACCAGCTCCGGTCCATGATACTGAAGATGTGCTCAAAGCAAGCAATATTTGGGTTGCAAAGAGTCGATCGTCCTGAGGGAGGTCGGACGGGCAATCCGAGTAGCCTCTTCCAAACCTGAGTCGACATGGATTAGATAAGAAAGCAAGCGAAGGAGAACGACCTTCCAAGGTCTAGACAGACCTATAGACCAATAGGCTACTTACAAGTCGAATAGCATAACTCGACATCCTTGGTCTACCAAAGCATGCGCCACTCCACCTAGGGCAATGCACGGCGTGGTAATACCATGGATGAACAAGACCTTCGGTCCATCTAGTGGACCCCATTCATACACTCGCATCGATCCATACGGAGTCGGCACATCACGAGCCCCCGGGAGCACATCGTTTGGAAGAGGAATTTCACCGTTCTTTGCCTCCGACGCGGAGGACGAGACTATGGCTCGGGGGCAATGAAGTACAGAACCTTGCGGACGCTTATCGGTGAGAAGGGAGCGCAAGAGGAGCCCCACAGTCAACGAGGCCCCTGTCGCAGCAAGCACGGGAAGTTGGGCGCTGTGGTTCACAACCGAATCGCGAAGAATGTCGACAGTCTGGCTATACCATGCCATAATGCAAGGTTCCTTTTTACCCTCTATGTCTAAGTGTATGTCTAAGTTCGTCTATGGTTTCAAACCAACAAATGAATCAATCGGTGCTCAATGAATGAAAGTATGAAAGACTGTAGGTGGAGTGAAGGGAAGAATGAAGAGAAGTGCCGACGGTCCGTCTCGGCTGCATCTTTCCTTTTCGGGTGTGATCATTGATATTCATCTGACTAGTAGTAGTGGGGCTACTGTTAAGCCGAGGTTCATTGGCCTGAGGCTCCCTCTTATTCATCACTCATGTTTACATATTCGGAGTAGATACCAAAGAAGCAAAAGAGGACCGGCCGTGTACAGAATATTCCCATACTAATCCACGGCTTACCTTCCTTTACAATTTTTTCTACAGGCTGGACTTGTGCTATATGTGATTCTAAATATGTATCGGGATCCTGTTAGAGATATAGAAGTGATCGGGCAAAAGGATGCAAGGTTAATGGAAGGAGATAATCAAGTGGAATGTCTACAGGAGCTAAATCCCATGCATAGACGTAGAGGGGAAAGAATCAGGCGAGAGGACAAGTTAGGTCCTCCATTGTGAGTACCCCTCGACAAGGGCATATCGAATCAAAGTGGCGACGATAAAATTACAATAGCCCAAGGAGGGGGGGGGGGCCTTCATTTTCTTTTTCCTTTTTCTTTTTTTCCTTCTTCTTCTTCTTTTCTTCTCTCCTCCGTCTAAGCGATAGGATAGTGGCCAAGACCCTAATAGTGGTCACCAGAGTGATACGGACGAACGTTCCGTCTGGTCATTTTGGGGCCAGAATACCGGCTAAATATGAAGTCTTGTCTTCTAATCTGACAGCTGCTGAAGGATAATCAGGCAGAAGGTATGGATAAGGAAACGATCTGCAAGGTACCAGCCCCACAAACCTATCAGGTCACACTGGCTGTATCGAAAGACAACAATTGTACTGCTCTAGAGATGAGTTTCTACAGGGATAACTGTCGCGGATAATTACCGAAGATCCTAGCTGCATATTTCTTATGCACCGCGAGATGTTCTAGTTACAAGAACGGCACGGAGGGCTGCTATCGCCTACTATGTGTTCCAAGACCCCGATTCTGCAACTGTGCCTTGATCGAAGTATGCCGGGTTTGATACTGGTTTGAATAGAGTGAATGGTTGCATTAGCCACGATATGCCAAGTTCCCGGGCGCCATCTGGCAGCCACAATTCCACGAACAACAGTGCCGACATGTCGAGGGCACCGCGAGGCTTGATTTCATTGATGGATCTTCTCCCCCGCATTCCGACGATCGGCAGGGTTTTATCCAGAGCGTTTAATGATGGGTCAATCCTTCATCTAAACACTCAATGCGTCAGAATATGCATCGCGACCAATCAGTACACATCAGACCACCTCGTCCTTAACCCACATCTATAGGGAGTTTCGTCCTGCCGATCGACTTCCCAAACAAGGATTAGGTCTAAGATTCGATCTACTACACCCGGGCTGAGGTTACCACAAATGCCTAGTCTCCGGCAAAGGAAGAATTGGCCGGACAAGCCGGAGCGACAATCGTGAAGAATACATTCACTCGAATAGGATGGCTGGTAGGAATATGGCACCAGTTTCGTACGCCTTCCCTAGACCCCTGATCAAATCGAGCTTTTGGTAGTAGGATATACCTCCGTGTATAGTTCTTGTTAGTCTCTTTTGATCGGAACGCCGACCCGAAAAGCATGCATCATCACATCTCCTCACCCTGCGGACAGTCTTGGAAATTAGCAAGGGCCATGGTTCTTCCCCTTCTTGTAATTCTCTAACCGGAACTGTTGAGGATATCGCTTAATGCATTATTTCGGAGCATACTCCGTTACCATCTCAGACCAACTACAGACCTTATGCGCCAACAGTCCTCAAGTGTTCATTACACATATGTCATGAACGCTCTAGGCTCCACTCTTGGCTGTACCTCAACAGCAATATGCTCATGTGATCCCGGCGGCTCCTGTATGGCTTCCTCAATCTCTATGAAACGGTCATTTCAGCGGCATCGCGGTCCGTTGCACCGGCTAGTATGGATAGGGCTTTGTAAAGGAATTTTTCCGAAATGAACACCAGGGTGTTTCTCTCTTAGTTCTGATGGCAGACCGGTTATATAAAGACCGGACGCCTCCTGCCCAAGATCAGAATATTATCTCTGCAGGACAGGCAACAGCAGCAACAAGTTCAATTCAACCCATTCTCTCTTTCCATTGAGTATTCGCAATGCATCAACGTGCACTTCTCTTCTCTGCCTTTTGGACTGCGGTCCAAGCCCAGCAGGCTGGAACTTTGACGGCGGAAACACATCCTTCCTTGACCTGGCAAAAGTGTGCTGCTGGTGGCACTTGTACTGAGCAGAAAGGCTCTGTTGTACTTGATTCCAACTGGCGTTGGTTGCACTCCGTTGACGGTTCCACTAACTGTTACACTGGCAACACTGTAAGTTTCCATCCACACATCTATCCCAAAGAGACATATGCACCTGACTGATTGAATCAACATAAAGTGGGATGCCAGCCTCTGCCCTGATAACGAATCCTGCGCTTCGAACTGTGCACTGGATGGAGCCGATTACGAGGGCACTTACGGTGTTACCACCAGCGGGGATGCCCTGACCCTCCAGTTTGTCACCGGTGCCAACGTCGGCTCTCGTCTGTACCTAATGGCAGATGACGACGAGTCATACCAGACATTCAACCTCTTGAACAATGAGTTCACTTTTGATGTGGACGCTTCCAAGCTTCCTTGTGGCTTGAACGGTGCCGTTTACTTCGTCTCCATGGACGCCGACGGCGGTGTCGCGAAGTACTCAACCAACAAGGCTGGCGCCAAGTATGGAACTGGCTACTGTGATTCACAGTGCCCACGAGACTTGAAGTTTATCAACGGTCAGGTAAGAAGTCCGCCTTGATATTTTTGGCCAAAGATAGTAACAATTGAAATCAGGCCAACGTGGAAGGATGGGAGCCGTCCGACAGCGACAAGAATGCCGGTGTTGGTGGCCACGGTTCCTGCTGCCCCGAGATGGATATCTGGGAAGCCAACAGCATCTCTACGGCCTACACGCCCCATCCTTGCGATGATACCGCTCAGACCATGTGTGAAGGCGATTCTTGTGGAGGAACTTACTCCGCGGATCGTTATGGCGGAACTTGCGACCCTGATGGTTGTGACTTCAACGCTTACCGCATGGGCAATGAGTCTTTCTATGGCCCCGGCCAGCTCGTCGACTCTTCTTCCCCAGTTACCGTGGTGACCCAATTCATCACTGCCGACGGCACTGACTCCGGTGCCTTGTCAGAGATCAAGCGCTTCTACGTACAGGGCGGTAAGGTCATCGCCAATGCCGCATCGAACGTTGATGGTGTCACTGGTAACTCGATCACCACCGACTTCTGTACTGCCCAGAAGACGGCATTCGGCGATGACGACATCTTTACGCAGCACGGAGGACTCAAGGGCATGGGCGATGCCTTGTCCTCTATGGTCCTGACTCTCAGTATCTGGGATGACCACCATTCCAGCATGATGTGGTTGGACAGCAGCTACCCAGAAGACGCTGACGCAAGCACCCCCGGTGTCGCTCGTGGCACCTGCGAGCCACACGTCGGTGACCCTGAGACGGTCGAGTCGCAGCACGGCAGTTCCACCGTGACCTACTCTAACATCAAGTTCGGACCGATCGGCTCTACTTTCGACGCCCCAGCTTAAGTGCCAAAATTTAAGGGCAGTCAAGGCTAGCCCGATTGGGTTTGGCATTGGCAACATTGAGCGAGAACATGTACATAGCATGGGAAAAAGATGTGCTGGATAGAGGCCCTAGCAAGGACAGATGTCTCGATACATTGCTCTTTTCTTTCATTTCTGTTTGCCTTGGTTCTGCCGCGCAGAATCAGGGGATTCGACTCGATTTGATTTTATTATGACATTCTCTGTGATTCGCGTTCTTTTCTTCGTCTGTATTCAATTAGGACAAATTGACGAGACAGAGTCTTTCATTATAGTTGGATTTATATCGTGCAGAGTACCGTAGCACCAATCTTAATAAGTAGCAGCAGTATATGGAGTAGTAGATGATCGACCAAAGAGTGAATATATATATTTAACAGGTGGAACCGCCCGCGGAAGATCCATCGGCCCGCACTTTCTCAAGCGGGAAATCGATCCGAGCTTCTTAAGGTTTATCCAAAGAGCTCCGAAGGGAAAAGAAAAAAAAAAAAAAAGGGAAGATTGGTGACCAGTTTTTCCCTCATTGAATCGCTATGTTTGACACAGTCTGCACATTACCGCTTTCTGCGGATCTATTCACGCAGGCTATACACCCCAAGGAGCCAATTGTCTCCGTTGGGCTTGCCTCCGGTCATGTTGAAACCTTCCGTCTTCCGTCAGATGAAGTGGACAGTGACGACGATCAGGCGTCGACTTCCTCATCACGAAATGGTCGAGGACATATTGATACGATGTGGAGGACGAGAAGACATAAGGGCAGCTGTCGGTGCTTAACGTTTGGAATTGACGGTGAATCGCTGTACTCTGCTGGAACAGATGGATTGGTTAAAGCTGCAAAGGCAGAGACCGGTGTGGTGGAAAACAAGATTGCAATTCCCCCGGAAAAAGATGGGTGAGTTTTAAAATGGCTGTCAAGAGTATATATATATATATATATATATAGTTTTGTGGGACAACCTGTTATGGGGGGACTCTATTGACTTATCTTTTGTTCTGCAGCTCCGTTGATGCCCCAACCGTTATTCATGCGCTTTCCCCCCAAACCCTCCTTCTCGCTACTGACTCGAGCGCATTACATCTATATGACCTTCGCCTTCCATTTTCCCGCGTCTCGGCCCGACCGCAACAGACACACCACCCTCACGATGATTACATCTCGTCTATCACTCCATTGCCTGCATCGGATACAAGTACCTCTGGATTTAGCAAGCAATGGGTATCAACTGGTGGTACTACATTGGCCGTGACGGATTTACGACGAGGGGTAATGGTGCGCAGTGAGGACCAGGAAGAAGAATTGGTGAGCTCCGTGTATGTCGGTGGCTTGGCCACTACCGGAACAAGCCGCGGCGAGAAAGTGCTTGTGGGTGGCTCCGGTGGGGTCCTTACCCTTTGGGAAAAGGGTGCATGGGATGATCAAGACGAGCGCATCTACGTTCAGCGGAACGGCGGTGAGGGAGAGTCTCTCGAAACCCTCACGATGGTTCCTGATGAGCTCGGAAAGGGCAAGATGGTCGCGGTTGGTCTCGGAAGTGGCGGTGTTAAGTTCGTCAGGATTGGCCCCAACAAAGTTGTGTCAGAGGTCATGCACGATGAAACGGAGGGCGTTGTCGGTCTAGGATTCGATGTGGAAGGCCGTATGGTCAGTGGTGGTGGGCAGGTGGTCAAGGTTTGGCATGAAGCAGTCGGATCTGCGGCAAATGGCGCTAGCGCTGGTGAAAAACACATGCTTGACGATAGTGATGAAGACAGCGACGACGATGATGATGTTGACTCGGACGATAGCGATGGAGAACGTCGGCGGGCCGACGAAGCGAAGAGAAAACGGACGAAGGGCAAAGGCAAGGATCGCAGCGGCGGTCAACACGTAATGGCGTTCTATGATCTTGATTGATCCTGTCATTCTTACTGCTACTACTCGTTCCTGCATGAAGGGAACTAGCTTGCAGGAAACAAATGCGAGGAACGGACTGCACGGCGGGGATGCATAGCGTGGGGGAGTTTCTTATGCGAAGAAACCATTTAGAAACCTTGCATCTTATAGTACTATGTAACTTAAAGTCGGTTTACCCAATGATTTATATGTCAATATGGGCAAGTATTCTCTACATGATTGGACCTGACGTCAACCCCATCGATCCGTTCGGTCTAGAAACAAATTAGCCCTCTTAACCATGTGACGTTGGTTAATTTTGTTACAGAACGGGGGATTTCCGAGGTGAGGAACTCCGCCGTCCTTCTCCCTTATAAATCGGCCTTCCCGGAAGCGATCAGAGCAGCAGCTGCCGAGAAATCAGGAACCCCCGCGAAGAGGACCCACGGCAAAGGCATTTGCCTGACGGTTGTTTGCAGGACCGTCTCCTACTACTGGTGGGGTGTGGGGTGCAGAGAGATTATTCATGATGATCAAAGCTTCCTCTAACCCATTAGATCTCGGTACTTATATCGGTCAACCGCCATAGCACTAGCTAGATATTAATCAATTTGTTTCCCATTGATTGTCCCGCTGTGATTTCCTATCTTCTTCTTCTAACGTCACAAAGATAGACCGAGCTCTTAAGATGGATGCATTCGAATATAACGCGAACCCTGGACGAGTCGTCTTCGGCAGTGGTACTCTCCAAAAACTCCCCGATGAGGTCTCCAGACTCAACCTGAAGGCTCCGCTGGTGTTGTCGACACCACAGCAGACCAGCCAAGCGGAGATGGTCAAGGACGTCCTCAAGGGCAAGGTAGCCGGTATCTTTACTGAGGCTACGATGCACACTCCTACACATATTACTGACAAGGCTCTCGAGTATGCGAAGTCTCAGAATGCTGATTTGGTCATCTCTATCGGCGGTGGAAGCACCATCGGGTTGGGGAAAGCCATCAGCATCCGTACGGGCATGCCTCACATTTGCATTCCAACCACTTACGCGGGAAGTGAAATGACCCCTATCTTGGGTGAGACGGCCGATGGTTTGAAGAAGACACGTTCGGATCCTAAAATCCTCCCCGGAACTGTCATTTACGATGTCGACCTTACTATGACACTGCCACCAGCAATGAGTGCTACTAGTGGTGTGAATGCTATTGCTCATGCCGGTGAGTCCTTACGAACCTGCTACTGTTCTGACCATTATATGATCACGAAAGCTCAACGGTTATCATACGACTAGTCGAAGCACTCTATGCCCGTAACACTAACCCGGTCATCAACTTGATGGCCGCCGAGGGTACCCGTGCACTAGCATCAGCCCTTCCTGAGATTGTCGAGAACCCCACATCCCAAGCTGCCCGGGCGTCAGCTCTGTATGGAGCTTGGCTCTGCGGGACCTGTCTTGGTAGTGTGGGTATGTCTATCCACCATAAACTATGCCATACGTTAGGTGGCAGTTTCAATTTGCCCCATGCAGAGACACATACAGCAGTGTTGCCTCATGCAATCTCTTACAATGCGCCGAAGATTCCAGAGGCAATGAAGAAGCTGGCTGAAGCGCTTCCCGATAGCAATGGAGATGCTATCCAGGGCCTGAATGTCTTGCTGTCTAAATTGCAAGTCAAGCGAGGTCTTAAGGACTTTGGCATGAAGGAGGAAGATATCGACAAGGCAGCGGATATTGCTGTTAGCAACCCCTACTGGAACCCTCGGGAGATCGAACGCGCGCCAATCCGTGAATTGATTCGACGTGTTTGGGCTGGGGAACTAGCACGGGCGGATTTGTAGGTTAGGGAGCCTTCTATCCAACACGTTTACTCTTTCGTGTGTATTTGATAGTTCGGCGATTGTGTCTACCTACATAATAAAAAATATATATTTCTAACAATGGTAAAATGTTACTTTGCATTTAATCGACTGACCATTCCACTAGTACAGAAACTATGGATGAAAAAGGTAGAGAATTAGAGGGAGAAGGCATCGTATTTCATGTATACAATCATCAGTAATTGGTATCAGCGCCATTGGCTCTTGTACGGATTTAATGGCGGGGTGAAGTGGGGGTGTTTTCTGTTCTCTCAAAATCGCCGAAAAAAAAAATTTCCACAACAATCTCAAACCCCGCCATTTCCACGATCTCCCCTAAGTCAACATTGTTTGCCATTGCAATCCGTTATATTACTGATATCATCAACTTTTTCGAGATGGCTACCGAAATGGCAGCAGCCCCCGTGCTGTCTACCCCCGATGATCGTATTCTCGAGGCCACCGAGCCCGTTACTACACAAGAGGCACCACGCGCGTTGTCGGACGAGGAGCTATCAATCACTTATGATATTGATCGCACGTTGAAGGAGATCCGAGAGGCCCGGTATAAGCGAATTGCTCTTCAGTTTCCCGATGATATGCTTCCGGATGCACCACGGGTGTTTCAATTGCTTAGTCGCGGTTTGGCCAAACGCAACGCTACGGACAGCAATGTTTCTCAGACGCAGAATGGCGGAGCAAGTGGTACTGCAGACTCGGATGGCCTATCCCATTCGGTCTCTCAGCTCAATATGACGGATACTACGGAGACATTTCCAAAATTGTATATCTTAGCCGATACGTCCTACGGGACTTGCTGCGTTGACGAGGTGGCCGCAGAGCACGTCAATGCAGATGTCGTCGTACACTATGGCCGCTCATGCCTATCTCCAACGTCTAGGCTACCGGTGATCTACGTTTTCACACATAAACCTCTTCCCATTGACCCCGTCGTTCGCGCTTTCAAAGAGACCTACCCTGATCCTACCACAAAGGTCATCCTCGCCGCTGATGTGACATACACCGACCATATCCCTGCAGTGTACTCACGACTTCTGAACGAAGGTTACACCGACTTGTTTGCTACTGATTTGGTCCACAACCCGTCATCTGCGATCCCCAATCGAACAGTGCCGGACTCGGTTCGCGAGACTCCTGATTCATTATCCGAATGGCAGCTGTTCCACATTTCAGACCCTCCTACGGCGCTCCTCATGACGCTGGCATCCCGCGTAGCTTCAATCCACATATATCCCACGGATGACCCACAAAACGAGAACGTCAAGCCTTTGCCGGCATCGACTGCGATCGCTTTGCGACGTCGATATGCCACCTTGACCCGTCTCAGCACTGCACCAATCTTTGGAATTTTAGTCAATACGCTCAGCGTGAAGAATTATCTACATATTGTAGAACATGTGAAGCAAAAAATCGCGGAAGCTGGCAAGAAGAGCTATATGTTTGTGGTGGGGAAATTGAACGCAGCCAAGGTGGCTAATTTCAGTGAGATCGATGGTTGGGTGGTCATCGGTTGCTGGGAGAGTTCCCTAGTTGACAGCAAAGATTTTTGGAAGCCAGTGATCACCCCATTTGAGCTGGAGCTTGCTCTGCAGGGGGATGCCGAGCGTATCTGGACTGGAGCCTGGCAGAGTGACTTCCAGAGCGTTCTTAATCAACCTAACCACGAAACCAAGGACACGGACGATGAGACTCCATTGTCGGATGATGTGACCGCCGATGAGGAAGAGAATATGTCCGACTCCGAATCTGCACCACCTGAGTTCGATTTGCGCACCGGTCGCTATGTCTCACACTCAAGGCCGATGCGGAATCCCGCACCCCGCGTTTCAGCATCAGCGGAGGATGCAGCGTCAGCAGCTAGCGGACCCTCTGCTGCTCGAGCGCTAGCTAAACGGGCCAAAGGGGATTTGGCTATGATCGGCGGGACCTTCTCCCCAGGGGCCGAATTTCTTCGATCGCAACGGACGTGGAAGGGGTTGGGGAGTGATTTCGATATTCAGTATGAAGAGGACGCCTCAGACGATACGCTGGTGGTGGAAGGACGCAAGGGCATTGCAAGGGGATATACAGTGGGCGATTCAATAGACCGGCACTAAACTTCCCGGAGATCCATTGGATTGATGAAACTATAATATATACCCAATGTTGTTGAAGGTCAACATCTGAAAATGGAAAGAAAAAGGGTTATTCCTCCATAGATCGACCAAATAGTATTCAACCCTATCGAGGTTCAGGGCCTCTATATTATTTATTAAATAATTGAAGTACTATCTTCACGGCTCGAATAGGGAAGGTCGCAAAAATGTGAAGAGTCTTTTTTAAGTCGACCCATCACATGATGCAAGCGGGCAGTTGCCGGCCGTAAGGCCCTTGGTTTTTGTCCCAATAGTGAGTTGTCAAAGCCACCCATCAGCCAGTATTATCGTACCTTATTCTCCCTTTGATGGCCTCGCATGATGTCCAACTCCTGAATCTATACCGCCCTCCTTGCGCTGTGTCGCCTTCCTTCTTTTCTCCTTATGATGCGCTGCATCTTCCGCAATCTCCGCTGTGTTCGCGACCTCGCGTCACTTTGACCTTCAGCGGCAGCAATAGCAACAGCGTGACCAACAGACGAAGAGACAAGGGCAATAAACCACGCTGCTACATCTCTCGCCCACGATCTGACCGCCAGTTCATAGGAGAATCAGGGACCTGAAAGCATGGCCGATAGCGCCGGTCACCACCAGCAGGTGCTGGTTGACTCCGCCTTGGAACAGTCGCTCGTCCCCGTCCAACGCTCTCTCTCAACCTTCGAACGAGTCGTTACAACCCATGCTCCTCTCCTCGAATCCCTGCTACTTCAACTCCCGACAGACTCCATTCTGAAACTTTACCACACTTCCCGCTACCTCCGGTCCTTTCTTAGATCCTATCCCACAGCATGGAAGCACTTGTCGTTTCGTTTATTCTTCCCTTCAGGCACCTCTTCACCCCTCCGGGTTGTCATACCAGGGACTCTGGAGCCAGTGGTGGTACCACGACAATCTCGGCCATATGCTCTTGATCAGTTGTTGATGAATGTGGTGGTTCCGTTCAGTCCGTGTTTAAGGAGTCTAGAGTTGGATAATACGGCGGTGTCTGGGCAGATTCTCATATCGACTGTCTTGTATTCACGGCGTGAAACACTAGAACATCTCTCTGTCCGGGGGTGTAAAAATGTCTCCCTCAAATACCATATCATTCCGTATCTGACAATGTTTGGGCTCCAATACGACGTGGATATGGAAAAAAGCATCGGTAGCTCTTCATCTACCAAGCGTCTTGCGCTGAAAAGTCTGTATACCTATCGATGCCGACATCACCGACGAAGACCCTACCTCTCCTCTTCTTTAACTCGGAAGGATTCAGACTCAGAACCGACCCATGAATTAGTCAATCTCTGCCATAAACTTGGGATTTGGACCGATACCGCGTGGTGTTCGACTCCTGCCGGAAGATGCTATAGGAGGAGAGGCTACGTCTCCATGAGAGTACCGCAGGGCTCCGCGGAGGTCTGGGTGGTTTTCGATCGGTTATGGCGGTCGAAGAATTGGATCGGCCCTGTAGATCACAGCAGCCGTCCACCCAAAAGAGACGGTAAGCTGTGGGAACACGAGGAGACCGGCTGCTATGGTGAAGCCCTAGGGACAGGAGAAGGCAGGGACCTTGGGGAGGGTAAAATGTCACCGGCCCATTCACGTTGGAGCCATAAGCGGTTCGTGGAAAATATCCGCTGCGACAACTGCTACGAGGAGATTCCGGAGAGATGCGAACAGTGTAGTGTTCTAATGCACTGTGTTGGATGTCGTAAGACGCTCTGTGCAAGTTGTGCTTATGATCGGCCTTACGTACGTCCTCGACGTCCCTCATCGCTCTCGGGGGAGACTAAGCAACCTTTCTGGTGGGCGCCAGGCGCTACCACTTCCCCCTGCCTCATGCTGGACCCCCTAGCAAGTACTTCTGAAAGCGATACCTTGAATCATAATAACACTACAGCTCCTCATCCTGTCCTGAAATTTCACTGGTGTTGTACAGAACCAATCTTTTCCGGCGGGGGCGGTATCAGCATTGGGACTCCTAACCGGGATGTAGATCAGGTGCGAGCGGCGCCTCTGCCCCGTGGGCAAGGCTGGGAAGATCTGGAATACTCGGCGCAAGAGTGGAGTAAGACCTTCCCCAAGTATGCCTACGGTGATCCACGGAAACCCGACTACACTCTCGAAACGGGACATATAGCGATGATGAAATGGTTGCTGGGGCCTCCAGACCGAGAACCCACCGCTTGTCCTCGAAATCTATGCCAGGAATGTTATGACACTCCCCAGTGGAAGGTACACTGTAAGAGTTGCTCGAAGCCATTATGCATTGAACATGACCTACGCGGTCTCCGCTTACGCATTTGTGGATACCGCGACCTTACTCTAGAAAAGATGGCTATCCAAAATCGGCCCGGAGCAAGCTCTCAACAGACCACCAGTGCTTATGCTTCGCCACATGTTCCGTTAATGAGCTCTTCAACCGAATTTGCGTTGCCGTACAGGACCCACCGGGCTGTCGACTCTACTGCAAGCAGTTTCACCGAGGATAATCCTGCAGATGGTGTTCCGGATGTTGGTAGTCACACTTTGCAGGGCGCTGACGACCCGCCAGGACCCATTTCTCTTGTGCACCGCCGACTCAGGAGTGCCTCGGTTTCGAACTCGAACCGGTCCCGCTCTTCGTCCCGTTCCTCCGTTGGTTGTGAATCACAGTCAGATGCGGCCAAATGGCAGGGTTGCCAATCGTTCTTCTGCCCGCAGTATCGAGCTGTCGGCGATCAACGACAGAGGTGTGGTAGTGTCCTACGTGAGTGCTCGAGCTGCTCGGTCCACGTATGTCAGGACTGCGTTGAGGCAAATCCTCCATGTAACTGCTCATACTGCGAGGTAAACTATTTGTGCCCAAACTGCCTCAAACTTCGAGAGCGAGACGGAACCTGTCGCCGGCTAGAAGAGGAAAAGGCACGAAGAGAACAAAGGTGGAAAGAAGATATGCAGATGCTAGAGGGAATCTTGGAGACTAAGATGGCAAACGAAGTTGCGGAATTTGCGGGTCAGTTCTTCAACTCCGTCGAAGAGCCGAGAATATCTGTTGAGCAAGTGGAAGATGTTCACCAAAATGCTCAATCTCCACAACATGTTCGCATCTTCGACGGCTCACCCTGGATGGGACCTATCACCGAGGAGGACGTGGTCGATAGCATAGAGTAAGTGCGGAGCCGACTGCATGAATCTATGCACGTTCGCTGCTTTTTTGCATTTCTCTCCTTTCCGAGGTTAAGTGAGTGGTCCGCCGGGTGTGTTGACTGCCCTGGCCTTCAAGGGGAGATATCGAGTGATGATGCGAGTCATGATTCTTTCCACTATCATGTCACTTTATCTTCCTGTTCACAAGCATATATAATAATGCTTTCTTTTCTTACCGGTTGATCACATAGTGCATATCAGATTACTTACGAATACCCTATGAAGATCGGGATGCTTGCTACTATAGACAAGCCAGCCCAATCGAATTACATGATACTATTAAATTTCTTAAAATAAAAAAAATTAAATTAAATTAAAAAAAAAAATATACGCAATGTTCATAATCATAATTCGCGGAATGACACGCATTCAAGCATCCACAATAGTAAAGCACCCGAAAGAAGCTAGTAAGCTCCAGCTCCATGCGGAACGGCCCCGCCAACAGAGAGAGCAAAAGTCCAAAACAATTACAACGAACACTTTGAATATCTTTCTCGTCCGTTCACATCCTCTAGCCGGTTCACGGAAAAATCACAAATTTAAACCCCTTTATCGAACCTCCCGTCAAGGTATTCCAAGCGTACACCTATACTTTCCACAACCCACCCCATTTCATTACCCCACCATCCCACTCCGCAACAAGTCAGGTACTAAGAACCACTAGCATCAGCCAACTTACCGCAAACCGTTCGAGAACCCGCCTAAATTCCAAACCCAACCATGTCTTCTGCCGAGGCCGAACGCGAGCCCAACCCCACCGAATTGGCTGACCGCGAGCGCGAGGAGAAGGAGCGCAAGGCGAAGGAAGACGCCGAGCAAGCGAAGCTGCCATACAAGTGGACGCAGACAATCAAAGACGTGGACGTGACAATTCCCGTACCGGGAAATCTTAGGGGAAGGGATCTGGATGTGGTTTTGACCAAGACTAAGATCAAGGTAGCGGTTAAGGGGCAGGAGCCTATTATCGAGGTAGGCCACGCCCTAACCGGTGATACCGTTGGGCAGTGAGGATGGGATAGCTAAGAGTGCCACAGGGAGACCTTCCTCACCCGGTTATACTTGACGAGTGCTCATGGACATTGGAGACGACATCGCAACCGCCTGGAAAGGAGGTGGCGGTTCATCTGGACAAGGTTAATAAGGTCGAGTGGTGGCCGCATGTGGTGACTTCTGCGCCCAAGATCGATGTCAGTAAGATCACGCCTGAATCATCGAAGTTGAGTGATTTGGACGGGGAGACCAGAGCTATGGTTGAGAAGATGATGTACGATCAGCGACAGAAGGAAATCGGTGGCATGAGCAGCGATGAGCAGCGCAAGATGGATCTTCTGAAGAAGTTCCAGGCGGAACATCCGGGTATGTTAAGACACTATCTTTCTTGCCTAGGGCCTCGTAAGGTTTACTGACATCCTGGTACAGAAATGGACTTCTCCAATGCGCAGATTGGTTAGTTGATGGGTCGTTTTAGCTGTGTATGAAGTAATGAGCATTAGTCTTTTTTCGAAAAGGACAATAGTATTCAATATTTTGATTCGTTCAATGCGCATGAGCTATGCTTTTAAGTAAACATTCCGAGGATATATCAAGAATCAAAATGGTTGATCTTGAAGGCCGAATACGAGAGCTACCCGGTTAGGAATAGCGGCGTGTATACTTGACAATCGGCAATTCTTTATGCTATACTTCGTGTCAGTTGTGCATCGTTTCCAAGGCATTATGGTCGGAGACCTCCTGTCTAATCTTTCGCCTGCTGAATTATTCCAAACACGCTCGTATTCACGGAAATGGGTCAGTATGTGACATGGTCCATGCGAAAACCCTTATTTATGGCCCCAGCTACCGTGCGAACACCAGAGAAAATGCAACTAGCAGATGCATTCCAAGTTGTCATTTCTACAAAGCACATATACCCCATAGCATCCATTTCGTGGCTTTTCATGCTTAACACCATGCATCTCCCAATTACTTGCAGCGGTCTGTTCGCCAAGACCCTGAGACAGTACAGTCGATGCTTACGAGGAACAGTTTGCTATTTAAGAATTCATTGTGCATGAACATAGAACATGGTACAAGGCATTCTACTTGAACTTTACAATAGTTGAAGTCATTGGATCTCCTCGGGAGATGGTCAAGTCCCACCCGTGTCGGTTGATCATCCGTTCAGTTGGTCAACTTCAGTATCCAACAAAAATACCCCGTCCAGATCGATGCCCCAGAAGTGCCATATCAGACGGAGTATCAACGATTACAAGTAACATGTTCTTTCTTTTGTGGCTCAAGGCGGTGTGTCTCACGCCAATGAGGGTCTGGAAAGCTTCAAACAAATGTTCCATGATGTAGGGAACACTGACGATGGGGCTGAGTCCTCGTATTCCTCTCACATCCACCGAAAGGCTGATCATTCGTTCCGTGCATGATGGGAAAAGGAGGCACAAGCCTTAATATTCGACCTCTACTTTTCCATACATATCTACCATAAAGCTGTTGACTGAAAGTCGGTTATAAAAAAGCGATGCCAGCTATTGCAGACGAGTCTTCGCAGACTGAGAAAGGCCAGGCCCACAGCACCCACCCCATAACACTCCCGGATATCTTACAGGGCCGGAAGAGCCTATTTCGTGTACCTTTATACCAATCATCGGGCGCAGAAGACGGTAACGGGAAGATCTATCATGCCCGTCGAGCACATCGGAAGTCGCGCGCTGGATGTGTGAAATGCAAGCAACGAAGAGTCAAGGTACTTCCCGCCCTTTTATATACACCTCCTTGTATTCGGAGGGATGTAGGGCTGAAGGATCCTAGTGTGACGAAACTAAGCCCCACTGCCTGCGATGCCAAAAGCATGGAGTTGACTGCAGTTATGACGCTGGTCAAGTTAACTCTGCGCGCAGCAAGAGTGTTATATCTTACTTTATCGACAAAGTCCCCGGTTTGACTGAGCAGGAATCAGCGACATATACAATGTCGCTGCTTGCTGTCTCGTCCAAGATAGACGAGCTGCTACAGATGAAGTCTAAAAATGGTCGTCTGTCTTCTAATATTCGAGCGTTACACCATTTCCATGAAGCTACGACCCCTACCGTCAGCTCCGAGCGTAGTCAGAACATGATGAGGGGTAAAATGATACAGCTGGCGTTCGATGTTAGTATCCCTGCCATATCCCCATTCAGCAGGCCATCGAAAACCTAACTGGTCTCTAGTCACCGTTCCTCATGCATGCCATCATCGGCGCAGCAACATCCCATCTCCGTCGCATCTACCCCGAAGACAACACATACACGATGGTCGAGGCATACCACTGGCAAAAAGCCATCAAGCAGTACTCCGAGGAGATCTCCACTGCCGTCGGCCCACACAACATGGACCCCCTCTACTCCGCCTGTCTCCTAATGACCATCCACTCCTTCAGTCTTGAAGAATACAACCCCCGCAGCTCCTTCGTCTTCTCCGACGACCCCGAATCCCTAAACTGGCTGATGCTTCAAAGCGGTCTGCGTCATCTCCTCCAGCTAACGGTCCCCTGGGTGACCCAAAGCATGTGGTGGGATGTCTTCAGGCGATCTCGTGAGGGTAACCCCCTCTACGACGACCATCGTCCCGGACGCATCGACCTACACCCGGAACTCGCCGAAATCTGCGGCATAGACGATACCACGACCGAGGAAACAAATCCCTACCACTGGCCTCTGCGAATGTTGACCCCATTGCTCTCCCTCGAGCGAAGCATGAAGACCTTCACCCACTATACCAATTACATGGGCCGACTGCTACCGGACTACTACGACCAGTTACTGAAGAAGGATCCGCCTGCATTGATTATTCTCAGCTGGTGGCTGGCCCTCGTAGTAGATCTTGAGGTCTGGTGGATGGAAACGCGAGCCAAGTCCGAGTGTGTAGCAATCTGCATGTACCTGGAGGAGAGCGACGACCCGCGCATTCTCAGTTTGCTGGAGTTTCCGGCGCAGGTTTGTGGGTATTTACTCAAGCATGTGCAGGAGCGGATAGCGAGTCAATATGATTTGGTGGTGTTATAGTTCGCTTGTTATGACTGGGCTGGTTGGTGTTTTTATGCACTTTTTTGTTCGTTCGAGCGTTTTGAAGTGTCGTATCTCACATTTAAAAAGTCCAGTCCCTTGGTTTGAACAAGTATATATGTATATGTATTATGTCCTGTGTAGTCTCATTATATGACGCAGATCAAGCCGAACAATAGTTCCTATAACGCCAATTACCCATATCCATGCATAGATAGAAAGTCCTCCCAAGGTCCATCATTACTCATATAAGTATGCAATGCTCCAGTGGCCAAAAAATAGTATCGAGGAAATAAAGGAAAAAGAGAAAATAAAAAGACTGTGGAGGAAGAGGCAGCGTGAAGAAGCAGTGTGAATAGAGTAGGAAGAGGTAAGAGAAAAGACAAGACAAAGCTCCTCAAGCGATGCCCCGATCACTCAAATGACAAAACTATGAGGGCCAACTATTGACTCTCCCAAGAGAACCTCCGTGGTCTCCCAGACTCATGCTGTTCATCGAAACTTCTTCGCGACAACACATTCCGGACCAAGTTGTCCGGTCTTTGGAATACAGGTCGCGGCTGCGCAATCTGCATCATAGCTACTTGCTGTGGCGACAGTGGATACCCAGACGAAGACACCGACATAGACCTCGACGGTGCAGGAGAGACACCGCGAGACGAATATGGCGGCGGCGGCGTGTCCCTCGTTGCCGTAGAGGTATTCCCGTAACTACTGGGGAAAGAGATAGCGGACGAGGCCTCTGAGGTCAGGTCCTCTGGGTTGTGGTTCCGATTCAAGCTCATTTCAAAGGCGAGACGATCCTTCTCATCTTGGAAGTATGTAGAGTTGCTGGCGTAGTCAGAGGATGAGACGGGTGGATCCTGCATGTGTGCTTCTAGGGTTTTCTCCCGAATGCTCACGGGCCGTGGAGTATATCTTGGTAATGGGACGACGGGGCTGTAGCCATCTTCATCATCTATCTCTGGGGGACTATTGTTGGCGTTATTATGAGTGGTGGTGCCATTGTCTCTATTTTGGGGTGGTTGATGACGAGGCTGAGGCGGCGGTTGAGATGACAGTGGGGAACTGCGGGTCACGCAACCGCACAGGATGTTGAAAATAGACATGGTGACTCGGCAAATAATTCAAGAAAAGGTCTGAGCAATGAGGATGTGAAGGATAATATCTAATGACTCCAACGAGAGGAGTGAAATCGAGAAATAGGCCTTTATGACTAATGGGGGATCTGTATACGATGTACCGATGGTCAATGCGGTCGACCTGATAAGAGTGGAGCAAAGATGAATTGTGCTCAGAGCATGTCCAGCATCATGGTCGGCACCCGCAGAGTGTCCCCGTGGGGTGATGATGCCAATTTATGCACTGGTGGGAGCGAAATGGCCAGACAAGGACACAGTATGCAGGAATGAGTGGAAGTGAGGAGAAAGCGAAGTGACATTCAAATGGAAAGTTGGAATCAGAATGGGGGACATTCGTATTTGTGAATGCCTGAGGCAGTGAGACCTCAGGCTTGTCGCTGATCCTCTCAGGCATCCACATTTTTGATTGGCTGCGTCGAAGATAGCGTTTCGGGGATCCACAGATACGGTTGGCGCCTGAGGCAGCGATGGGTATATTTTTCTTTTCCCCACCAGATCTTTTCTCTTTTTCTCCGCAACAAGATTTCTTTCCCCTCCATTGATTGCGGTCTATCTTGCATACCCTCGTTGAGCCGCATAACGTTCTTTTCGGTTTCTAGGAAGATGGCTCCAGAAAACGCTCACTCCTACGATGACATTATAAAAGTCACCCAACAGGTTCAACCTCCCATGGTTGCCCCGCATCGTTCGCACGACCCCTCCAACAATCTCAAACGCAGTGATCCCTTTCAATTCGGTTCTCGCTACCTAGAACAAGGCGACGACGTCTTCGAGTTCAATGCCTGGGATCACGTCGAACCGGATGACGAGTTCTTAGCCTTCGCAGAAGTTCAATACGCCAAACAGCGCGAGTCGCCCGCGTCAGACTTTGACAAATTCCGTTTCAACAATGACCCCGCCAAATGGTGGAACTTGTTTTATAAGAATAACACAGCAAACTTCTTCAAGGATCGCAAGTGGCTGCAGCAAGAGTTTCCCATCTTAGAAGAGGTCACCCGGCCCGATGCAGGAAAGAAGGTCGTTCTGGAGGTTGGCGCAGGCGCAGGAAACACGGCATTCCCGTTGATCAACAACAATGCGAACGAAGAGCTCATGGTCCATGCGTGCGACTTTTCGAAATACGCCGTCAAGGTTATACGGGAAAGCGAGCACTATAACCCGAAGCACATCACTGCCGACGTTTGGGATGTCGCTGCCGTACCCGATGAGAACAATGACTCCCTTCCTCCAGGACTGACAGAGGGTTCCGTCGACGTTGTGGTTTTGATCTTCATTTTCTCCGCCCTCAACCCGAACCAGTGGGAAAAGGCCCTTCGCAATATCTACCGGGTCCTGAAGCCTGGTGGTAAGGTCTTGTTCCGTGACTACGGGCGGGGAGACTTGGCTCAGGTTCGATTCAAGAAGGGTCGGTATTTGGATGAGAACTTCTACGTCCGTGGAGATGGCACTCGTGTGTTCTTCTTTGATAGAGACGAGCTCGAAGAAATGTGGGGTCGGTGGACCCCCGAGAAGGGTCTCCCCGAGAAATCCGAAGGTGAAAAGCCTGTTATCGGCAAGAATGACGGTTCCTTTAAAATACACGCGCTGGCATATGACCGACGGTTGGTGGTCAATCGCCAGAAGAAACTGAAGATGTACCGTTGCTGGATCCAGGGCCACTTCGAAAAGCGTGAAGAGGCTGTTGCAGAGAACGGTGAAAAGAACGAGTCGTGATCGAGGTTTAATGAAAATACTTAAGCCTACAGCTTACTGCAATGCGCCCTTGCATTCACCTCAGATTTGACGCTACTAGTCTAGGCAACTCAATTCAGGGCTAGTTGGCTTAGAAATCCTTCACCAGTACCCCTTTTGAAAGGCCTATCAGCTTGCACAACGTGTCATGAGAAGATGCTGAATGGCTCTTCACGCAAACCCGTCAGGTCTTCCTGGGGACCCTCAATCCCACAGCTGGCTCAACACTATGCATCACCATAGACGGCATGTTTTGCTAGAAAAGCTCCGCCCATAGACTATTTCACGATGTTATGATGACATATGCATGTATCTATAGATTTCAGGATACCAGCTCAAAAAGACTTGCTAGAATCTAACCGATTTTGTCTAGACTATGCCAGATGTACATATAGGTAGACTCCATATGAACCAAAGAGCTAGTATAATCCAACACATACGACTATAGGTGCGCGAAACAGGGCTTAGTCCATATAACTCAGCTACCTAAAGGGATCTGACTAAGTACACTCTTACTACGAACATGATCGAAGTTGATTCGCTGTGTTCTATGCTCTTTCTTTTCACTCCCTCTATTAGTTGTAACCCAGCAGTATAGACTCTCAAATAGATTCTATTTAAGCGGTCAACAATTCCCCGTATGCCTTGCGCGTCCTAAATGCCAGTATCTCGATCCGAATGAAGAACTCAAGATATCTCAAACGTAGCTAAGCCAGCTCTTCCTCTAGGGTACACCAGTATAGGGCCTGGAATTATACGGTGTATACTCCATACATGGAGAACCAGATAGGATCGCCGTTCATAAAGAATCATTAACATTTTATAAAGCACTACTCGCATTAAACCTCAAACACACACTACCAGAACCAACATAAATCACACATACAACGAAGTTCCAACCCCCCACCCCAGAACAACCCCCCAATTAAACCTCCTTCCCGATAGCCCTAATCTTCGGGCCCCAAAACCAAAGCACCAAAGGAATCGGCACACCCAGCCCCAAATACAGAAAAGCAAGCAAAGTATTCCCCCACCCAAACCCCAAGCGATCATACAAGCTAGGCGCAAAGATAGGGAACGCAAAGCCGAGAATATTCGACAACATCCTCGTAGCCGCATTAGCAGACGCCGCATGGGCAAATTCATCCAGCAGATAGGCCAGCATGCCCTGACTGACCATGAAGCAGCCGGCGGTGAAAATAGCGGCGCCGATATCGACGACGACCCATGAGATGTGGTTCTCAGCGGACCAGCCGTACCAGACGAGGCCGATGGGGATGAGTAGGACGCTGGGCATCATGTAAGGGACGCGGAATTCGGGAGTGACGATCGCGCCGGGACGATCGCGCATACGGCGGAAAATATAGTCCATGAGGTGGCCGCCGGCCTGGGCGCCGATTGTGGTGCCGATGGCGATGGCGAGATAATTTAAGCTGGAGATTGTTTCTGATTGGTGGTAGCGGTCGATCCAGAGGTTGGCGTAGGTGGAGAGCATGAGGACGTAGATGCCGAAGTCGAGGCCGTAGACGATGGCCAGAAGCTGGATAATGGGGCGGGTTATGAGGAGACGGAGGGGACGGTAGATGTTCTTTCGGAGTTGGGTGAAGAGGTCGATGTAGAATTGCTGCGTCAGGGGGCTGTTCTCGGGGTAGAGGTTTGGGTTCTGTGCTTTTGCCTTGCGGCGCAGGAGGGCTGGTGTATATGATTCTTTCATGATGACTGCGCCGATGACGGTGACGAGTGCCTCGAATGAGGACAGGATCCAGAAGAGCCAGTGCCAGTGGATGTGTTGTGAGGCTAGACCGCCCATTATGGGCCCTATTGCTGGTCCCAGATAGGGGATAAGGGTGGCCAGTGCCAGGGACTTTCCACGGTCTTTGGCATGGAACAGGTCCGCCATGATAGGTGCTGTGAGCTGTGTCCTTGTCAGCTATCTTGTCCCACGGATAGTCTTTACAGGCAATCACTCACCGTGACACCGGCACTCGCTCCACAGCCTGCAAGGAACCGCCCGGTCATCATGAGCCCTGCGTTGTTTCCAACTGGGCAGAGTGAGTTCCAAAGAATGTACCAGGCATTCGAAATCAACCAGACAAACTTCCGGCCATATATTTCGGACAAGGCAGCGACGAGAAAGGGCCCAAATGCCAAGCCAAGAAGAAAGATTGAGAAGCAGATCTGCGTGACAGAAATGCTCAAGCCCACATCCTCTGCAATCTGGTTCAATGCCGCAGCCATCATACTGGTCGACATGAGAGTGGCCAGTTGGCCGCAGGACACGACGATGGCAATGGAGACCTTGCGGGTCAGCGACCAGTTGTACGGGTTCTGAGGATCATCTGGGCTATCCCAGGTGGCCTAAACAGCGATTGGCACCAAAATTAGTCTTTTCCATCATCGGGGGATGGTGAATACGGTGTGGGTATCATTACACCATGCGCTTCTCTGAGCCCATTTAGCTTCGCCTCGGCTTCATCATCGGCTATAGCCACATAGTTCTGGTCTCGGCCTGCCTCCACAGCAGCCCCCTGTGGGATTTCTTTAGGTTCAGCCGTCATATTCGCAAAGATTAACTGCAGATATGTTGGTAGAAGTGTATATGAACTGAACTAAGCAGATCGAAACACCGAAAATGTCAATGTTTTGTTTTATAAAAATGGCCTTTTTTCCAATTACCCCATCGTTCCGGGTCTTTCACGTCAAGTGGACTGACATGGAAATATCTTTGGAAGGAAAACGCAAAGAAGGGACTGTCGGACGTGCCGGATGTTGCATTCCAGAGTGCTTACGTCGTGACCGGAAACGGTAAATAGTTTGGATGTAACCTTTCTGTTTATCTTATCTGATCTTCTTTGCAGGTTCTGATAGGCTTAGGATACGGTGAACTTATCCAAGCATCAGTTAATATCATATTGTATCTACTAGGTATACCCCTAGTGGCAGGATGTTCCTGAGCTAGGCCATAGTGTTAGGGTTAAGACTAGTCATAGTCTGTGGGCCGCCACAGCTGATTGATAAGACACAGATTATCTGCCTACTTTCAGGCCATGGAGCTAAGAACCATTCCGTGTGCTATGGGGAAACCAGATATGTAAGAATATCTTACTAGTACTAACCGGTTAAAGAATTCCGGGGTTTGCTAACCTTCCTATATCCCTAGTGCTTATACCAGACAAGCATATGCAGGCCTCGTGTGACTCTTTTCGTGCAGCCAGATAGTAGTAGTATTATGGAAATGAAGTGATATTGACAGGCAAATATTTCGAGTTAACTTTCTTAACATATGCAACACCATGAACTCCGTATTAGTCTCCCGAATCCAAGTCTAAAGATCAGGTTTCCGCCCGATCATAAAATACATAGGAGTGAAAAGGCCAAGCCTACCCCCTTCGACAAGACTATCACCACCACTGGCGAGCTCGGTGGCTGTTTCGGCTGTTCCAGATGGGGCCAGTCGCAGAGTTTCCAGCGTCCATAGCAGGTAACCCATCGCTCCTCGTCCGAATTTCGTCATGCGCAGAACAGTGAGTAGATCCCAAAGGCCTCGTGCGTATCGCAGCTCTCCTGCAATAGGGTAGTACCATGGAATAGGGTCTGGTCGTGTTGCTAGGTCTTCTTCATGTTCGAGAACGAAACCCGCTGCTTGAATAGCTTCGACAGCCTCATTTTGAGTACGCATGTTGACAATGCCATTGCCGCGCTCAATCCCGAGTCGAATAGCACGATGCTTGGGATTAGACTCATCGAAACGATCCGTCATGACCCATTCATATACACCGAAACGGCCACCTGGTTTAAGCACACGGAAGATCTGCTCATATACTTTCTGAAGGCTTGGGGCGTGGACTGTGGCTTCGATGACATAGACTGCATCGACTGTATTATCTGGGAAATCAAGATGCTAGATCGATAGTCAGAGAGACAAACAGCCATGATAATTGTGAATACGGCTCCATTATACTCACCATGAAATCACCCTTAAAGAAGGAAACCTGCTCCTGCAGACCCGCCTTCTGCGTATGCCGTGTTGCACGTGCGATCTGATATCCATTGTTGTTGACTCCAACCACCTGGCACCCAGTGAACCGAGCAATCTCTCGCGCCGGACCCCCAACACCACATCCAACATCCAGAACCTCCATTCCCCGCTTAATGCCCAATTTATATGCCAGGTAATGCTCGTGGCGCGCTAGAGCTTGGAGGAACGATTCGCCGACAGTGAACCGACAGAAATGAAATGACTGTGCCCATGCTTCTTCATAAAAGTCTGTCGCAAGGTCGTAGTAGCTATGCAGGTTGATCAGTTAGCAAACAGATGTCTACCATTGGCGAGACGCATCGCAGCAGGAAGGCCACTCACTTGTTGACCACACCCATGTACTCAGTTGTTCTCTCCTTTCGGGCCTCGTCGGTTGTGCCGTCGATGCCCTTTTCCGTCCGCCACCGCCGCACATATTCATTTGTGATCTCACGGTGTGCGGCATTGTTCTTTTTAAGCATAGCGAAGAAGGCATTCTTCTCTTCTGCCGACTTTCCGTGCATGGCCTTGGTTAATGCAAGGTCGGGGTCTTCATGTAAGGCGACAGTCATTGTGAGATGTCAGTAGTCGATATTATGTACGAAAAGGACTCTGACGAAGCGAATGCCTTAAATAGGGAGAGAACGAAAATCGGTAGAAGAGAGGTCTGCTTGAGAAGCTTGTGTGGTCCGAATAGAAACAGATCGCTGAAGCAAGACAACGACAGACCTTTATAGCAGTAAAAGCTCATATTCGTTTACATAGATACCTTCGACCTCAGCCATCATCGTATACATCGTATACGCTCTATACGACAATTAGGGCTCAGGGTCAGCTTACTCATATAAATTTATGAGCCAATTGGAGGCTTGAATAACATCGTATCGACATCGTATTTCGGTCGATGCACCAAGTGGGTCACAGCTGGGGTAAAGTAGTGGGTACATCATTCCAACCGTGTTCTACACAGACTTCCATGCTGTACCTGCTATGCTGGTGGAGTCCAATGGGATACTGTACCTTTCCAAGCCCCTGGGATTTGGGATAACTTGCCGGCAGAGCACATACTCCGCCAGGAGCAAAGAGGAATAGCAGTGGACTGCCCAAGACTTCTACTAGTCTGCGCATGTCTTTTCATTGGTCCAGGGCCCCAACAAGGCATTTCATTTCGCCGCCATACTCTGTAATGAAACAACTCTTCGAAGATGCGAACCCATAAGAGAAGATGCTGACTCCACAAAGATCAGGCCACCTCGGCCCGGCTGTTGTACCTGTGAGCAAGCCGTAAATGTCGTATTTGTCCCAATCCCTACAGTCTTCAAGCTCTCGCTGGACTCCGCGGGACCCAGAGCTGCAGAACTGCTGTAGCTCAGAGGCATGGATGAAAGACAGATAGCACAATATCTTTGACTAGGAAGTGTCAATCTAGTTCGTGGATGTGGGTGTTATCATATGCCCTGACTTTGGGATCCCGCACGCCTCCTTTACCGATACCGGTTTTAGTACATATATCAGATCAAATGTAAACCTGCGGCTCCTTAAGGCGTTTTGTCCGTCGAGATTTCGATATTATAGCGATGGTCAACGATAATTCCCAGGGTCGCAGGACATCGTGAGCTTTCGGAAGTTCATCTCTAAGCACAGACCGCTCGTTGTCGTGACTCTCTGTTGCAAAGATGAACCCTGAATAAGTCTTATCAGAACAAGCCGTTGCTGCATAATTCGTCGTGAGAAATGCATCCATGTCTGAGATATGCACATATTCTCTTTGGTGATTTGGAGTAGAAGCGTGACTTGCTCTCTGCAAGTGTGATGACTGATGCAGAGGCAGATCGTGACAGTCAGGCTAGTACTCAGGCGATAATCAGGCAACCAGGCCAGGGAGAACAGGAGTCGTCAGCAGCAGAGGATATACACAGTTCACTCTTAGTCTATCCTTCATGGCCACGGCTTGATACAGGCTACATCACGTATCCACTTACAGGATAAACGACGACGGTCTATGAATAAGCGGAAGCCCATCTCTGTATCTAGAAAACAACAGCTAAAATTACACGATCATAAAGACCAACGAAAAAGACATGAGACCATTGAGGAAAAAAATGTACAGATACAGAAGCACCAGTCAGACTTAGGTCGCTGCGATCCAGTGCCCCATTCGCCGAACCTTTGACAATCCCTACCCTGATTCAACGGTTTGATTTTATGTGCATCTATTGCTTCGAGTCTTCTTTCTCCTGGGCTTTCTTGGCCTTCTCTTCCTTCCGGCCGTCAAGCTCCAGCTTCTTAATCTCCTGCTCCAAGTCGTCAATGCCGTCTTTTCGGAACCGCGTTACCTTCTGTACATTCAACCGTGTCAGTTCATTGAGAGTATCCAGACCCTGGGCCCGCTGCCGGGCGACGGTGCGTGCCGTCATCGCGAATCGCATATCCTTGGGTCCGTCGACGAGTTCCAGGATGGCGCTAGGTGCTTGATCGTCTTTCTTGGGCTCGACACGTAGTACCCGGGTGTAACCACCGGGACGCTCGGCGTAGCGTTCACGAAGGGGTCCGAAGAGCTTAGGAAGGAGATCATGAGGAGTCTGGAATCCGATTAGTACTAATTGTAAGAAGAACCGATATCATGAAGATAAGTCACAAAGATGAAGGGGAAAGTTGTCATGCAACATTCTCCCTGTTCTCTAAGTGGATTCCCTCGACGCGGAATTATAAAAAATATGAAGAATCGGATTCCCACATACATAGAAGGTCGACAAAGCCTGTCTCCGACTCGCTTCTGTGTTCTTCTTGCCCAATGTGATCAACTTCTCGGCCAGCCGTTGCGCCTCCTTGGCCTTGGGCCATGTTGTTGTGATCGACTCATGTTTGAAGAGTGAGGTGACCAAGTTGCGAAGAAGAGCCTGTCTGTGCGAGGACTTGCGGCTAAGATGGCGATACTTGGCTGCACCACCGGCCATTGTGATAGGTATATGCGGAAGGTGTTTTTATTCGGTTGTTTTTTTGGTTGTCTCTGCCGTGACAATTGGCGGATGACGAAGATGTGTGGTGTATAAAAGGTCGTAAGTCTGTTCCTACAGCAAGCCGAAGGACAGGGGAGAGGGGAGAAAGGCGAAATTAGAGTTGGGCGATATTAAGATGAAGTTGCAGTTCACAGCCGTTATGCTCGACCACCTTCCAGGACGGTGGAAAGATTCGTTCCTCCGCGGCAGCCAATCGGAGTGCTCGAATGGCATTCCCGATCCGCGCGACAGAAACTCCCCATACTTGCAGATTTGTTTCTTTCATCTAGACAAGCAGACGAGCCTATCCTTTTCAATATCACACATTTTACTCTTGCTTTGGATTTAATTTGACTCGCCATATCTCCCTGCATTAATAAAAGAGTATCCAGTCGCCGGTTTGCTCATTCAGGATCTGCGAGTCGTGACTGCTGTTCTTTCGGCCGGCGCCGAGGAAGGGCTTCCTCCCCCACCTATCTTGCAGCAGTCGGAAAGTGTTGCGCTATCCTTTTGAGAATCAGTTTACTTCATAAAACAAAGACGCAGATATGGGCTTCTTCGCCGGGTTTGTAAGTTAACAACTCCCTCTTTGACTCGAAAGCATGTGCCGAACTGTCAGTTGATATGAGAAATAGTTCAGCGGATTTGCCTTAACTACAACCGCCTTATATTTAACCGTTCAAGTACATCGGTCTATTCGCCTGGAACAACGTGATGCTATACGTCAACAAACTCAAGCTCTAAATCGGTTATCATCGCCTATAGGCGCCTACGACCGCCGACTAGCCCCGAAGGATAGCGCTCGACCAGATAGTAAAACAACGGAGCCAGCACGGCCTACTATGGAGGACTTGCTGAAGCATCATTGGAACCAGGAAGTGGAAAAGTTGGCAAAAAAGGCAAACGAAAGTCGGTGGGAAGACATGCGAGAAACGGCGCTGGAAGGGTGGAAGACTGTGGTGAGACTTGTAAAGAGGGAGTAGAGTCAATTTGGCTGAGTACATGTTCATTGGAGTTGCTCGACGTTGGCGAGCTAATATGTCCAGATACCCTTTCTTTGTCTGTCATTAACTAGCGTTTCTCATGTATTAATATTTTCCTTGTCGGTCCAACCTTACCATTTCCATGCATTGAATGACGACACTGTCGCATTTTTAAACGTCAATAATAACCATGACCCTTTTCTCACAATGCCACAGGCCATGCAGACTGCAAATGGTTTTTGGTGATAGCAACACTACCAGGACGATAGAATCCCCATTTGCTTCGTAAGTGGTAGTAACCCCGCCAATGCAGGGCATTGGTGGAATTGATGGAATGTACCCGTTGACTGTCAGTCAAAATGGCACGTAATACATTTCAAGCCACAGGGCTAGAGGCCTTGTACGGTGTCCACAGATGATCAATTTTTCATAGGCTTCTGACAGTCTCATCCAGTGTTAGCCGTTGATGCGGTCTCCGTGGTTATGCTTTCATTATCACTCCATATGTCTCTGCTCTCCCTCTCCACGGCGCGCATAGCTTGAGCAACCTCCTCAAGCTTAGCTACCACATCCAACACACCGTTGTTGACCCGATCGAAATAGCGATCATTCGCTTCACGCCTCTCGCGCGCCAGAAGAATGTCCTTTTCTGTTTCCTCATCTAGGTTCCTCTGGGAGGCATCGTCCGTTGCGGTTGGCTCTCCTGTGGGACTGGCGGCTCGAGAGGATACCCTTGGTCTCGACTGACTCTTGGTAGCGGCATTCTTCGGATCAACTACCTCATCAGCTTCGCTTCTAGCCCAGGCTTGTGCAAGCTTCAGCTGTTTCGTTCGCAGGTCTTCAAGGGCCTCAGAGTGCTTCTCGCCAAAAACATGTTCACTCGCTACCGCGCTCAGCTCGACCTCTGACAAGGCATTCTGCATTTCTTGCCAGATGGCGTCCGAGCGATCTATTTCGCCTTTTGACTGTGTACGAGATAAAAAGGGCGAAAGAGAGCCTGGAGTCTCAAGGCCGCCTTGATGCCGAGAGGAGCGATTCCGTTGTAGCGCAGGACGCTGAACCCCTCCACCTGGAGAAACAGGGGGCACCGGAGGTGTGAGAGATATGTTAGATCCATTATGGGAAGTAGGTGGGCCTTGAAAGAGGACCGGGGGAGGGAGACGCGCAGAGGGGATTTTCCTGAGATTCTCTAGTTTCGGAGCTGCATCCATGGTGCTCGAAATGTATATGTTGTTGGCAGGCGAACTATAACAGAAGAAGCTCCAATTGACAGCCGTAAATAAAGGGAGCTTAATCTCCGCAGACAATCAATGCTGACGGTCACTGATAAGCGGGCTTATCGATATCGGAGGACGGCGGGAGTTGTTCCGATCCCGTGCCTCGCTTAGCGGCCGATTAGGGCGGAGCGCGCACAGCAGAACATTTTGGTGAGCCTTCAGCGACACCGCCGGCCGTGAAAGGAACCCTTCGACTCTCGACAACCATCCCCATCAGGCCTTTCGGCAATCTATATCAGTCGGTATGTATATTGTTGCTGCTATTTTTTGATGAAATATATTCGTGTCTAGGGACTTCCGTTCAACATCGAATTATTTGATTTTTGATTTTCCACCGCCCCGGCCATGTACATTTGAAATCCACGTCCCCTCCACAAATCACGAAATCACCAAGCCTCAGATTGCCACAGCAAGATCTAACGCATATTCTTTTTCTACAGACCGTCCTTCGAACATAATCCGCCAAGATGGGTAAGGGACAGCCTCGTGGTCTTAACGCCGCGCGCAAGCTCGCGAACACCCGCCGTGAGAACCGTTGGGCCGATCTTCACTACAAGAAGCGCCTGCTCGGTACAGCCTACAAGTCCTCTCCCTTCGGTGGTGCTTCTCACGCCAAGGGTATCGTCCTCGAAAAGGTCGGTGTTGAGGCCAAGCAGCCCAACTCCGCTATTCGCAAGTGTGTCAAGGTCCAGTTGATCAAGAACGGCAAGAAGGTCGCTGCTTTCGGTGGGTAGCCCTCTTTTCTCTCCTACAGTTATACCATGTGCTGCAAATACGGAAAATGAGAATGGTCTGGTGATGTTGGGGTGGTGGATTTGATTGAAGATGGGCATGGAGGGAATCGAACGAAATGGCAGACGTGGAAGGATGTGGTTCAAATTGTGCTAACGGTTCAACTCGCAGTCCCCAACGACGGTTGCCTTAACTTCATCGACGAGAACGACGAGGTTCTCCTTGCCGGTTTCGGTCGTAAGGGTAAGGCCAAGGGTGATATTCCCGGTGTCCGTTTCAAGGTCGTCAAGGTCTCCGGTGTCTCCCTGCTCGCCCTCTGGAAGGAGAAGAAGGAGAAGCCCCGTTCTTAGAGAATTGCGCGAACGAATGATTGCAGCGGGAACGATGGGAAAGGGCCCATTCCATGGAACATTGGAAGATTACTACGATGGGATCTATCTTCAGTCTATGGTCTGGTCTGGAAATTATGGTTCAGGACGGATGACCCTGCAAATAAATTGCAGCTACTACGATTGATATACTTTTAAAAGATGGCGCCATGATTTATATCTTTGGGAAGGGCCCTAAAATATCAAGTCTCAAACTTCAATCCTCCGTCTCCTCTTAGCCTTTGTAGTATGCATTGGGCGCTCGAGATTTCCGTAACGATTTTCGCAATGATATAGCTTGGGTTCTAGGCTGGGAAATCCGGGTACAATATCCATCTTATTAATCTTATCGCATGATCCATATCATATGATCTTGATTCATTACTATTCCATTTAGGGTAAACTACGTGTGTGTGCCTTGAGTCTGATTGTTTGCCCCGTGGGTATCGTCCCTCATATTTTGTCTATTACAATCCTTACGCCCGTATGTAACCATGCTTTTCTAATACCCAACTCCTTTTCTTCATTTTTCGTTGGTTTTTTTTTCTCTTCAACAAGGCGCTTAAAAGCTGATATCCTCCTTGCGATAGTGGTCGGACACAATACGGTAAAGATAGGACGGTGCGTGACCTCCCCTGTAAAAGAACGTCCATAGTTAGCTCCGCTAGACAAGAATATACATAATGTATGGGAACCCACAGATTGGTGATATAGAGGTCGATCAACTCTGCCGGGACGTAGTCGTACAGAGGATTTTGAACGTCGATCTGATCCACCAAGTCGCCATCCTCGTAGCCGATAACGTTGCTGGAGTCACCATATTCGATCAGCGAGTCGAAATCGAACGGATACACAGGGCTAAGTTTGTATACACCGCTCACGACCACCACAGGGGTCTGGTGCACCTTTGCTGCGCGAGCAATAACCCGGGTACCTGCGGAGGCAACCAGCCCACCATTGGCAAGAACGGAATGTGTGCCCAAGATGACCTTATTGACTCGAGACATGAGCGCGAAGACAGCAGAATCCGGGATCAGGATGACTGTGATACCCAGAGCGATCAGAGGCTTCTGGAAAGATTCGGTGCTCAGGATCTCTTCATCGCCAGTACTGTTGCCGCTGACGGTGGCATGGGTCGCTTCGTGGTTGTTTGGGTATGATTCGGCGTGAATCACGGTGAACTTCCGCTTAGCGGCAGCTTTCAGTAAGAACTTCTGGACGGTAGTGGACGATGTATGGGTGAGGATGATCTCGTTGGAGTGAATATGGTCGAGGGCATAGGCCGCAATCTGGTCGTCTACTTGACCCAATTCATCGATAATCTCATTGACACCTTCGAGAACCTCGGCACGAATGTCCTTGCTTTGTACGTGCCCCAGCAATCTTCCGGATGGGGACGCCGATGCAGGAGTGCCGGGAAGAGACGTTTCGGGCTCCGGGTGTGAAAGTAGGCTGAACATGGAGATCGGGGCGGGCTGCGACAAAGGTGGTCGGGAAGACCCTCGGTCCGAGCCTTCGAAACGACCAGACGAATATTCAGAAGGATCTATTATACAATTGTCAGCGCCTCCAAATCACACATATAATGCGGAATGGCGAGAGCTAACCATCCAAGGCACGGGGCGTTTGAGGCTGGCTCTCAGAGCCTGCTTCACTCAGGTTAAAGTCGGCTTCTCTGTCATCTTCGGCCTCATCCCGAATCAGGCCCAGTACGCGCCTGACAATGTTACCGACTACCATCTCCTTGGGTTGCGCAGCCACCAGCCGCCTTCCCACACTCTGGACCCGCTCAATAAGCTTAGCTGCATCTGATGTCCGACAGGCCGAGATGACACGAAGGAGAAGGTAAGCGGTCGCGGTAGCGCATGATCGGGAGTGGCGAATTTGTCTTCGCTTGAGGAGTCTGGACGTTCGTTAATATACCTAGCGACTGCGCGGAATGTACAATGACGGTGAGAACGCACGAGATCAGATTATCAATAGATGTGTCAATCGGATTGGTCTTCAACGACCTGAGAAAGGACGCCAAGCCTGGCGTCAAAGCCATAGATGTGGATGGCATAGTTTGTGGTATATGCTGGTATTTCTTTGCGTGAAAAGCGCTGCGCACTGAAGACAGGTTGATCCTTGGAATCTATGTACAATGGTTAGCAGATTGAGTCATGCCGCACACGGTAATTTCGCACAGTTTCTATATATACCCCAAGAACAGATCGTAGGACATGTATGCGACTCCAAATAACCAAGACGTAGATAAATGAGGGGACCAAAAACTCACTTGACTTTTGGGGCGGAAAAAATACCGGTGGTTGAGGGGCAGCGCTAAAAGTGAGGAGGAAAGAGGAGGAGGTTTCTTTGGCGTTTGGTGGGATGTGACGGAGGGAGTTTTTGCCCGCCGCTTAGAGCTGCCGCTCGGCCCAACGTGCTGCTGGCATCTGGGACTAATTCCGGGACGGCCTGACAGCAGACCACTTCTGAACCTGGAGTAGTATGTATGAGCGTCTCTCCCCACACACCTCTCTGACGTCTCCGGCTACTAGACCACTTCGTGTTCCTGGCTGAGAGGCTGTGCCTTTGTATCGGTCTTTCCTTCCGTTCCGTATCTTCTTTCTCCTGCAGAATCTCCCCGACCGATACGACTGGGACCTTTGGTCTACCCGTCGGCTATCACTTCATCGAACAGAGCTGGTATAAGTGTGGTTCTGAGACACGGGTTGTCAACTGGCGCATTGAGGTTCGTACGAGCATCTTCTATATCCCATTGCAATCCCAATGCTGCCTTACATCGATCCATGTCCGACATTGTTGTTCCTACACTGCACGAGTGCTAACCAGCACGTTCTCCCTTAGATAGCTGCGCCAGCCCGGACACCCGTGGGCTGTGTTGGAAGATGAACTCGTTGAACATACTTTCGTCCCGAGTCATTGGCCAATCTTCCCATTCAAACCGTAACCGTCAGAGATCACGTTCGCAAGGAGATATCCCACCAGTAACTGCACCGGCGGATCTCTCTAAACTCCGGTCTTACAGCAGCCACGACTTCCATTCGGCAGACGTTTTTGAGAAGAGTAGCGACGATGGGTCTGGGTTAGCACAGGAAGATGACCAGCTTGGCCTTACGTTGGATGAGAAATCACCACTGATACGAGGGCTTCATAAAGACGGTTCATTCGCTGCAAACAGTACACTAGGTCTTGTTGCACAGCGGTTTTTCGACGCAGTTGCCGAAGCAATCAAATTCATCTTGTCCACTTTGGCCGCACCCGGTATATTTGCAATCCAATGCTTTCGCGAGGATGATGGGCGTTATTCCCCCATAGCTCCTGTGAGAAAGTTGGGGCGATTCCTGTTCGGTTCCTCTGCCAGTAGCGCAAACACATCGGCGAAAGGTGTTAAACGGACGGAAAGTAGACGACGGCAGGGCTCCACGCGAAAGTTGAAAAGCCACAGGTCGCGAGATTCTATTGCCTCGAGCACTTCTGAGTCCGAAGGTGATCGGAAGGCCCTCAAGGGCTCTTCGGGTAATAGAAATCGATCCTTGAAAGCGAAATCTTCAAAGTCGGACCAGATGTCGGATGAAAGCACTCCTCGTCGTTCCATACGGATTAAGCTCCATAACGAAGAAGCTCTGAAACGACAAAGGCAGCGCCGATCACAGAGTGTGGATCTCGATCGGTCGTCAGAAACTGGACCCGTAAACCCAGATAGCCTGAAATCGCCGACGTCTTCATCTATCCACAAGGTTACTAGGTACCCTCATTCGCCCGTTCCTCCTCGGCCGCTGATTCCACCCCGTCTACCATCCTACACAGTCACGTCGCGCACATATAGGGCTCCCCAGAAGACTTTGATCCTTGATTTAGATGAAACCCTCATCCACTCACTGGCCAAGGGAGGACGCAT